ACAAAAATTTGTATTTACGATTTTTTTTCATATTTACTTTTAAAGTAAGATATTAACTAATATATACTATTAAAATTTGAATTATAATCTACAATTTGATACCAAACATATTGACATAAATTCATGAAATAGTAGTTCAATAAAATTTTGAATGCGAGTCAACAAGTCAGATGACATGACCTTTCACCTATGATCCGTTTCAAAAGGGTTAAGCAATCAACCCAATATAATGCCCATGGATAAATAGGAAAAATTATAAAGAATGAATTTGGCCATTAGAAAATTTACTGCATGTTTTTAAAGATATCAAAAATTAATAATAAAATTCCGTAAGTTTTGTTGAATACTTGGGGTAAATGAGTATTTGTGACCATCTAATGTGTAAATATGCACTATATGGTTACAGGAGTCAAGATGTTTCAAGATGATGAGTAAAACTTCCACTTATACCCTAGAAAATGTTAATAAGAGTACTTGTGACCTTTTATTATGTCAATACTCATTGCCTTGACCATCTACTAGTCACAGAAGCCAAGCTGTTGCGAGATGTGAGTACACCTATTGTTAAATTAGACAGTGTCAGTGTTTTTGATCTATTTTCTCAGACCACAGTGACACAATCATTATAAGCATATGGCTGTTATTTATATTCTAAACTAAATGTGAAAATTTTTAATGCAACATGCTAATTAATTAGGTATTTTTTTTGTTTATTGTGCTTATAGTTGGCTATTTCCATTTATTGGGCACATGGGTATTGCCACATCAGAAGGTATTATCAGAGATTTTGCAGGTCCATACTTTGTGTCTGTAAGTATTATATGTGCGTAAGAATTACATTGTACTTACATCTATGGTAATTTTAATGTATTAAATTTTAAAATACTTTAATAAGCTACAAAAATATTATGCTGATTAATTATATAAAATTAGACCTCAAACAGATGTGCCTGCTCTGAAATGCTCCATTCTGAGATTCAGAGGCCTTGATAAAAGTTTATATTCAAATGTTTCTCCTCTTCAGTAGTATTAACCCTAATGGCTGTTATTACCTCTCTTTATAAAATCACGTATGTGAAAATCAGTCTTACCATAGGTACTATATGAAGATTGATGAGAATTGTATAATTATTGAAAAGAAAAAAGATTCTGCTGAGATTTTTTTCATATTATAGTTATATTTTTTAATAATTCCATACTTTTTTAAAAGAGTTTTTTAAAATAGTGACTATTAGCTATTTATAAAAGCATATGGCCTACATGTATAACAAATATGTATATAGATCGCAGTAGTAAACTTAACCTTATTTTATTCATGTTCTGTCATAGCTAAGGCTGATTTTCTTCAAAGCATCTTTGTCACTTTCCCTAAAATGGTTTTTACTTTTTTTTTTTTTACAGGAGAATGACATGGCATTTGGAAAACCAACCAAGTAAGGAATGAATATGTATATAAATATATTTAAAACTGTTTATTTTATAAAGTGGTTATACTGTCTTGAAAATCCATTATCAGTAATTAATTTGCAATAGTTTGTAAAACTACATGTAGTCTATAAATCATGAATTAATCATCATAAGTCTGAAAATAGTTTTGATTCACTTAAACAACTTCTATGATAAATCATCACAAATGGCTGGTGCTTTGTAAACAGTAACCTAGTCTATGGTTCTTTATATGGTTATAATACATGTTGTGTATTTAATGTAGAATATGAATTTACAAGAACATTAATTTTTTTAGGCTGGCTGATCCTTCATTATATTACTGGAGTTATGGCTGAAAATAATGTTAACAGTGATGGTATCCAGTACATTCTTATCACTGGATGTTTAGTTTTATAGTGTATTAATTTACTACATCTTCTTTTATAGATTCTCATTGTTATATTTTAATATAATTTTCAAATTATTTTAGTTTTATACTGCATATTTAATTTCCTTTTATCAGTTGTTCTCCACATAATAAGAAAATAGATGAATTTTTCTCAAATTAATTAAGTTACTTTAAACATTCCTTTTGTATTATGTTTCATAACTTTCTTTGACATATTATTGATGTTTAGTAGTTTTTTTTAAGCTTAGAAAGTTTTTATCAATATTAAATGGTTGCTTTTAACCCTATGCATATGGAAGAGTCAGGATGCATGGCACAGTGTCTTTACAGAGTTATATCCAAAATTTAACTAAACAACTATATTATCAGTATATATCAATACGTTTGGCATCAACACATGTTTGAAATTAAATTTTTTGTTATATAAGCTTTATTTTTTTAATTTTAAATGGAAATATTTAAATAAATTCTCAATCTTCACTTCTCTGTATCACATGACATGCCTGTTTTAGATATTCATTCTACCCTTATGTAAACATCTGTGTGTCCAGCTTATTAGAAACACATGTTACAGATATTGAAAGACAATATAAATTTAGAACCTCCAATCTCCCTGGTTTACTGAGATATAAAAAATCTGCCCACCTGTTCCTCCTGTCTTTCAAAAAGTATCAGTAACTCTCTCTGACATTGCTTTGGATTACTTTATGACCAATGAAAGAGCAGCTTTTTATTTACAAGATTCCTTGTATGGTTATTTCATTCTGCTGGCTGTTTTCCACTCCAAACAGCTAACAGAATATGTTTAATCTATTTATAGTTTTGTTAAATTAAAGTAGTTTTGAGATATTCTGTCCTAGTGCACGATATATTTTTATGACCTGAAATGCATATTTTAAAAAGAATATTAATTATTATGTGGGGAATCAACATAATATGAAAAATAGAACTAAGAAAGTATGCTCTTGAGTACAAATTACTGAAATAAACTTTAATTCTAATGCAATTTCAAAATTTCTTGTTTTTCTTATATATATTTTTCATTTATTGCTATCTATTTTTAACTAAAATGTAAAAATTAAAAACCCATTAGGTTAGTTATCAAAAGGTAAATTAAATAAAATTTTACTAGACCAGCTTGAGCTGACTGCATCACATGGTTCTCTTGCTGTAGTTAATTACCTTTCACACACTTAGATAGGGTCCAAAAGACATTGTAAAGTAATAAAATTGAAAGTAAACAGATGTGAAAAGATTAGATAGCTAAGACTATTAGAATAAATGCTAATAATTGTCTGTTACAATCTGCTGTCATTCTAGTTGAAAATAAAGTATTATGGATTTTGTCATATTTTTCAATTTTTTGTGTTATTTATGGTATGACAAATACTGTTGTGTAAAAGGTAGATTTCTGTGTAATTAATTAAATCTGAGGAAAATGTAAAAAGGAATTTGATAGTATTTGTATTAGTGCCTAAGTAAACTGTAAGAGAAAGAAAGATTTATATTAAACTCAAATTTATGGCCAGACAAGCTATTTAAATTGTAATTGATGTGATTTTAATTAGTGAAATCTGTTGTCAGCCAAGATGCTTAATCCTTGATTATATTAGTGATATCTATGGTCTTCTGATGTGCTCATACTGTGTGTTCATGTGATTTTGTTAGTGAAGTCTGTGGTCTGTCTGATTTTTATTAATGCAATATGTGTCAGCCAGGGTGTTCAAACTCTTTTTTTGTTTTTTTAATGCAATATTAAGAGTGAAATCTGTGATCACCCAAGGTATTCAAACTATATTTTTTCATGTGATTTTATTGGTGAAATTTGTTGTCAACCAAGTAGTTCAGCCTGTGAAGTTGTCATCATGGAAGGTGTTCAGATAATGTTTTTATGTGATTTTATTACTGAAATCTGTGGTCAGCCATTATGTTCTTCAGATTGTGATTTTATTAGTCAAAGTGAAATATTTCACTAATAAAATCACACAAAAACATTAGCTGAATACAATGGCTCACCACAGATTTCACTAATAAAATCACACACAAAAAAGTATGAACAACTTAGAAGACTACACATCTCACTAACAAAATCACATAAACACAAACTGAAGAACACCTTGCTTGACAACAGCTGCCCACAATATTCAGCTTGTGTTTTTGTTAGTGATACCTGTGGCCAGCAATGGTATTAGCCTGTTTTTATGCAATTTTTTGAGTGAAATTTGTGTTCACTCAAGGTGTTCATTTTTTGTTATGTATATTCTTTCTTCAATGTTACTTTCATTAACAATATTTGTTAGAATGTTTAATATATCTGATTTATTATTTTATATTATTATACTTTTATTTTACAGATGATTTTGAATTTTTTAGCTTGGTTATATGAATTTAGAACTAACCTAAATCTTGTGAGGTATTGTTGGGTTTATGGCCAAATTATTGTTAACATCAAAGGTTTGCAACTAATGAAACAATGTACTCTACTCTAACTTTCAGGTTGATTTTAATTTATATTTTTGAACTAAGTAGGTAGCTTGCTTTAATTAGAAGTTAATATTAAATAGTAAAATCTGTGGTCATTGGATGTATATGTGTGTAAGAACATAAAATTGTGTCACTATAGTCATTCAATTCATTGATGTCACACAACAAAGAAACCAGCCTAGCCTAGAAATCCATAAAATTATCTGACAAAAACTTATGAACTGTAAACTACCCACACACATTGCCTCATCTTACAGACTATTCCATAAGCTTGCTTCTGTGGCTTATGCTTATATCTTTTAATGTTTAGGATTTTATCTATTACTTTATCTTTTCACCAGTACAACAGATATACCATGGCCAGTTTATTTGTTTCTCTAATGATTTTAACCGCCTGAATCTGGTCATCTCTATTTTTTCTACCCTTCAGAGAAAAGTTCATATCTTTGAGTTTCTTTTCATACTTTAATATTTCAAACTAGTTATCATTTTGGTAGCCTGCTTTTAAATGTTTTCAGATATATCTATCTTTTCTATAATATGGGAATCAAAAATGAAAACAGTACTACAGTAAGGTCTTACCAATATTTTGTACAAAATGATGATAATCTGCTTGTTTCTGAACTCAAACATTATGTAAGTAAATCTTAGAACTCTATTTGCTTTTTTTCACCACTTACACACATTCAGGTGAAGGCTTGAGACTTTTATCAGTCATCACACCTAAATCTTTATTGCTTTCCACATCATTAATATTAATCTTACAAAAGAATGTCTTTCCAAATCTCCTTACTTTAAATGCATCATTATAGGAGTTTCAGAATTGAATCCAGGTTCATACAGATTAGCCCCTGAAAAAGAATCCAAGTCCTTCTACATTAAGAAAGAGCTTTCCAAAGATTCACCCTTAACCAATTTAGTATCATCAGCAAGTTTAGAAATATTTCGAGTTATATGCAACTCATATCATTCATATAGTAAACAACAGGGACCCAAAGACAGACCCTTGAAAAACCTCACTAGTCACAAATTTCCAGTTGGAATGATGCCCATTAATCAAAACCATCTGGTTTCAATCCAGTTTTTAATCTAATTTTTGAGTGTTTTCTCAACTTCATAAACATCTAACTTATTTATTGACCTGTTGTGAGGAATATTTTGAAAAGCTTTGTCAAATTCTAGACACAAACAAAATCGGGATTACCTTCATTCACATATAAAAAAAACTCCATTGAGTTTGTGACATAAAGAAAACTCCTTTATGAAGTCATACTGAAAACCAACATCCAACTTTCACAGTGACTTCTGTCCAAGTGACCCCTGACAGTAGATTCTAATAGTTTACTAATAACAGAAGTTGATTAATCTTTAATTTCTTGATCCTCACAAGACCCCTTTTTTTAAAAACAGTTATTGCACTAGCAACCTTACAATCATCAGGAATGTCCTGTGTCTAGACACTTGTAGAAAATTTAACTTAAAACACTATCCAACTTAATACTAAACTCCTTTAAAGGTTTGAGATAAATCACATTAGGGCCAGAAACTGCACTATTTGTAAGATTTCTGAGCTTTTCAAAAACATAATTTCTTTTAATGATATTAATATCTAAGAATAACCTTCCCCCTTCAAATGTAGTAAACAACTTAGAAACCTCATTATCAACACCTTTAATGACAAAAAAAAGACAGCAAAAACATTTAATGGTAGAGCCATCTATTCCTCCTGAACAATAATGTCCCCAATTGACTCATTTTTCTCTCTACATAAGCCTAAAATCCTCCACATTAAAGTAACAAGCTAAGATGTTGTACTAGTTTGTAGCTTCAATGATGATGTTTTGGATTAGAGATGTTTTATTTCTTAAACTTCATGTTGCAGAATTAGCTACTAGATGCCTTTGTTTACAGATACTGGAAGTTAGATCCAGATTTAGCCAGTGGTGGGATCCAAGCGTGGAACTCAGCTATTAGGGATGCATCAGAAGAGTACAGCCACAGAATGGTAATAAGCACTAAATAAGCAAGTGTAAAAACATTGTGAAAAACATTTTAAATTATACTTATCATATTACATTATCCATCATGATTTTTAGATATATCTGTTGCAATTCTAGTTATATATGCCTTAAACACCTAGAAATATTTCATGAGTATTTTCAGCCTATTAAGACCCACATCAGGTAACAGATGAATATATTACACAACTAGTTTCAGCCTTAGGCCTACATCAGGTTACAGTTAAATATATTTCACCAATATTTTCAGCCTTAGGCCCACATCAGGTGATAATTAACTATATTACAAGATTAGTTTTATCCATAAGCCAAAATCAGAGACAGTAAAGTATATTACACAAGGATTTTGCAATAGGTTAAGTATATATGATTATTTCAGCCTTATTCCAGGTGGTAATTAAATGTATTATGTATACAACTAGTTTCATGTAACAGTTAAGTATATTATGTATGTGAATATTTCAGCCTTTGACACACCATGTAACAGTTAAGCATATTATGTATGTGAATATTTCAGCCTTTGACACACCATGTAACAGTTAAGCATATCATATAAATATATTCAACCTTATTCCCATATCAGATGACAGTTAAATATATCATAAAGGTTCTCATTAGGGGGTGCGTATCTCATGTTAGTAATCGATACAATACGTATCTAGATACAGAAGTTTTACCGATAGTTTGTTACAGAGTTTGACAGTCTTGTCTGTAATTTATTATCTATATTACTAACAATGTCTTATTTAAGTACTTCACACTCTACACTGCTTTTTCAAATTCTCAGGTTTGATTAACTAAATGGCAGCTGGCAAGAAAAGTAAAATAAAAAAAAATTGATATCTGTTTTATTGTTAATTTGCTACGTTACTTTACATGTAATGTTTCTGATAAAAGAAATGAAGACAACATGTAGTACTCAATACTCATCTTCCTTTATTGAATCATTAATTTTTTAGCAAAAATACTTTAGTAGAAATTCAGATTTTTTCTGTAAAAAAGACTTATAATGTTTAGTGAAAGCTTGCCAAAATTGATGTATCGATACAATCATATCACAGCTTCATGATACTCGTATTGCCACACCGTTAGTTCTCAATAGGCTTCCACAGTGAAGGACCCCAGACTCACAACTTTTATTTTTTAAAAATCCCAATAAGATTTTCAAAGGTCCCATAGGTAGGATATAATAAACTCAAAAAAAAAGGAAAAAAAGCACTTCAGTGTTAATGAAAAACTGTATTTACAATTTACACTACAAAAGGATAAAATGAACAGCTTTCCCAATAAACATGAAAATATCTTCTGTTTTTAAGGAATCATTACTTAAAAGTGACTACTTGAAATCTTGTTTTCAATTATGATTAGTTTTGGTACAATTAACATGTTTATAAATGAATTATTGTAAAAACCTGCTTGTGTACCAATTACTAAACTTTGATATCTTACAAATTATTTTCAAGTAGAAAATACAGAAACACCTTGAAGATTTTAATATTTAACTCCATGTGAGGTCAATTGATTTGACTGACCTTGTAACCACCATAAAAAATTAGGAAATAATTCTAGGTGTCCCCTATTTTCTTTGTGGAATGACTGCAAATTGTAATAATAATATTGAACAAATTACAACTGTTACAAGTTCAAGGGTGTTAAAGATAAATACCTCTTATGGTCTGTTACAATCTGCAGTCATTGTAGAAAGACCAGGCAGCATAGAGTTATGTTGTATTTTTTGTGGTTGTTAAAAAGTTTATGAAGTGGATTGAGCCCATGTAGTGTTAGAGTGAAGAAAATAACAGACAGAATGGAAACTTTTACTGAAAAAAAACATTATTCATTTAGGAGGTTATATTGTTAATGCAAATGAAATCTGAAAATTTTTAAAATGAAGAAAAGTGTATTTATTCTTAACATGAAAAACAACTTTCACTCAAACTAGTCAAAATTCTGAGTCAGAATGATTAAAGTAGATTCAGAGACAAATCTGTAATAAAAATACTTTACTAAAAATTAGAATTTTTTTGTGTACAGCATATTTGTAATGCTTAATAAAAGCTCACTGAATTTTGTGAAGATCAATAAGTAAATTTAGAGTTATAGAAAGATTAATTCTCCAATACGAGCTTAGTTCAGTGGATCAACCCCATGCACATAAAGTTAACTATATTACACAACTAGTTTCACCAGTAGCCCACATCAGATGGTAAGATACATAATGAAATATACAATAAAACCATGCAGTTTAAAGTATGCCTTATTGGAACAGATTATGATATTTTTTCTTGGAATAGATTAACATACATGTACTTAATATGAAATGTGTCTTATATAAAGTATGTAGATATGTGCACAGTTTCATGTTATGTCTTCATTCTAGCATAACCTGTTTTGTGATAATTGTCATTCTCACGTGGCTATGGCTCTCAATTTGATGGTTTACAAGGGTTCTTCTAGTTGGAATATGGTGAAACTCTGTTGTCTCATGCTCATCTTTGGAAAATATGTAAGGTGAGTCTGCTCTCGGTAACTTGAACTTTATAAAGATAGTAGGATTATACTCTAAAAGCTACTTTATTATTAATCAGTCTGTTATAAAGCTACTAAAATTAGTCATGAAGTGTAGCTCAAACTTAGATGCTGCCTTAAAGTACAGTTTCTTATAGTTATTTTAGGTTTTGTTTGATTATTTCCATGAAAATGTTGAATTAAAAAACATTAAAGTTTTTTTAAACTCTCAGATTTTGTTTCTCTTATGATTGAATTACTTAGAGATACAACATAGTAGTGCAGCTCTTAAATATTTTTATTACATTCAAAATGATGGTTTTGTTAGGAAGAAAAGTTTCTAACCTTTTACATGTTGCCTCAAAAAGCTTTTACTTTTTGTGTGTGGTTCCTGTTATTAGAAACCTTGTAACCAATAGAGTAATGGACACAAGCAAGTTTGGGAATAAATAGTTTAGAAAAATACCTTTAAAGTGTGTGTGTGTGGGGGGCTGTATCAGTAATTCTAAGGTTATGAGTTAATGAATGAACTTCTTCTATTGCACCTACTAATGAAGGGGTGGATAGATGTTGTTGTGTCAGTGGGGGCTCTCAGAATTTACTAAGGTTGATATTTTGTATATTAGAAAGTGTGAGTATTTGAGAATGTCATTTTTAATAAATGCTGTTTTTTTTCAGTATTTGGGGCTTTCTCAAGACATGGATGCCATTTCTTGTATGTGTCTGTGTTGTGATAATATTGTGGCTGGCTATACCTATGGCTTGAGCAAGTATATTGAGACCTAGAAAGAATATTTTGTACAGAAGAATGTAATTATATGTATGTTAATAGTAGAATATCAAATACTAAAAACTAAACATCTTCCTCATATATTGAATCTTTCCACACATCAGTTTTTACTTTTCCAGTACTCTTCATGTTATTAAGAATTATATAAAATAAAGTGTTGTCTCAGTACATAATAGATTTTTATATCTAGAAAACTGTCCCTTGTAATTGTTTTTGAAAGTTCAGTTCATAATTAATGTAAACACCAAAACGTTAAAAAATCTATAGAAACAAATAAAAAAAAAACATGGCAGACATTCACAAGAAAATAAGTCACATAATAAAATTGCAACTTGCAATACAGAGTTAGTATTCTGGATTTCAAGTTAAAGAATCTTCTGAAATCTTTAAATGTTATAAAGTATCAGATATTGTATTTTGTGTGATATTCAGTGTGTTTACACGAATAAAATTTTTTATTTGTGAATATTATGTGTCTTGCGTGTGATAGGTTACTACAATGGAGAGTAACTAGCAAATCTAACAAAATGGTAGTTTGTAGCCAAAATAAAAAAGGAAGAGAAAAAAAATTCTTTAGTCTTCTCTGTTTTCCCATCTACATGTTTAATACTCTTCCCCAGAATTCAAGTGGCAATTGTTTTCTTTCTTCCTGAACATTATACACGTCTAGAAAACATTTTACACGTCTAGAAAACATTTTACACGTCTAGAAAACATTATACACGTCTAGAAAACATTATACACGTCTAGAAAACATTTTACACGTCTAGAAACATTTTACACGTCTAGAAAACATTATACACGTCTAGAAATATTATACACGTTTAGAAAACATTATACACGTCTAGAAAACATTATACACGTCTAGAAAACATTTACACATCTAGAAAACATTTTACACGTCTAGAAAACATTATACACGTCTAGAAAACGTTTTACACGTCTAGAAAACATTTTACACGTCTAGAAAACGTTTTACACGTCTAGAAAACATTTTACACGTCTAGAAAACATTATACACGTTTAGAAAACATTATACACGTCTAGAATAGGTTTACAAAAGTTCATTCATCAGCTATGTCTATTTTTAATTCTAGAGTCACGTGAAGTTTTCTAGAAAATTTCAGAATTTTCGCTACCAACAATCTTTGTCTAGCAATAATTAAATATAAATTAGTTGAAGTTTGTCTTAGTGGTATGAATATGAGGATAACTCGGTGTTCACACTTTTTAAAATTTCATTGTCAAAAATTTAAAATGAGCTTTAAAAGAATTTTCAAAACAACCTGTATTTTTCCATTATTCACCATTATAAAAAGAAAAAACTCCAAAAGATGATGGAAACCAAGTGAAGTAGAAAATGCTAGACTGAGCACTTTTTGATTTCAGCCAATGGATTCTAAATGTACCTCTCATAAATTTTATAGTATATACTAATCCTAGCACTAATGGCATAAAGCAACTAATGCATTCTGCATTTACTTAGCTGAGGCAGTTACCTACTTCTTTTCAGTTGTTAAATGTAAGTATTCTTGAAAGTGCTTCAGATCAGCAGTGAGTGAGAAAGAACATCAATTAATAAACGTAAGAAATACCCTTCAGTTTTATTCCCAGAATTCATTCACTTGTATGGTTCAACTAGAACAAGAGTGTCACTGCTACTCCCAATGATTAATTAATTAGCAAATTCGACTAATTGCCCAGCTTTAATTTCCAGTTCTATCTAGTCTACTGGATGCGTAAGCTAAAATATGATCGGAAAGATCTTATGAATTCAAGAATTTGGACAATTACGTAATTTTACTTACTGGCTGATAAAGGTGATTCTACAATGGTCTAAGGCAGACACTCTTATAATAAAAGAAAAACAAGAAGGGTTGGTGTTACCATTACTGCGAAGACGCCAATAAATGACAAATTAGCTGGATCAAGCAAAGTTGGGGCCTGGTGGTTAGAGTGCTCAACTAACAATGTGCTGGATCAAAACCCGGTGCCGATCATGCTTGCTCTTTCAGTCATGGGGGGGTGGGGGGGTGTTATAATGTGACAATCAATCGTCCTATTCATTCGTAAAAAGAGTTGAAATTGGGCCAGTGAACTTCTATGTAGTTAGCAGTTTGAAAGTGGGCCAGTTAGCTTCTATGTAGTTAGCAGTTCAAAATTAGACACAGCGGCAAATAGTCTTAGTAGCTTTGACATAAAAACGAAAACATTGATGTTAATGGAAATTCCAACTGGTTTTTCGATTTCTAAAGTAGGGTAACTTTTAAGAATATTATACACCCCTACATTCTTAACATTTCTAGAAGTTTTTCTTGTAGGTTACGCAAAATTCATTTACATTTGTTTCTCTTCGACCAATTGTTTCATCTATTGGTTCGCCTTCATATAAACTATTATAATATTAGCTCAGTATATCGAGTCTATCGATAGAAAATATGATCTACAGTAAACAATTCTGAAAGTTTTTTTACAATAACTTAGAGAAGTAAATTTTTGAAATAATGAGAAAATAGTAAACAATGATTGTTAATTTACTTACATCTACATCTTTACTTTAGGTTTGTTGAAACCAATATGATGACTGATGTTAATCTTAATTAGTGTTTAAAGGTGTCGTGTCATTTATAAACGACGTCACGGCGCAGCTCTGACGTCCCCAGTTTTTTTTACTGTGGCCAGTTAAGTTATAGAACATTTAGAAAGTACAGCACTTCGTTCCATTACAAGCACGGTAAACTTATGTTGTTGATACATTGATGATTTATTCTGCTTTGTCAAAGATTCTAAAGCAGATTACTTACTGTCCCACTTAAACTTACAAAATGAGCATATTCACCTCACAATGGAGAGCGAAGTAAATAACCACTTGTCTTTTTTAGGGTGTTTTACTAACTAAATTCTATGAACTTTCTCACTGTTAACGTTTTATGAAAACCAACTCAAACAGATAAATATCTAAATTTCATGTTACATCATCGTGGTTCCCACGAATAGGGTAAAATAATTTCTCTCGAATGCTACACTTATATCAATGATGTTTTACATATCAACTATAGGAGTATATATTTTCAAAAAGTGCTTTAACAGAAAGAATCATCAAAATAACGGAAAATCGACCATAAAAGGTTGTATAACTAAACCTCATATTCAGTCTCCTGGTGGAACAGAGGTAAGTCTACTGACTTGCAACCCTAACGTGTGAGGGTTCGATTTTCCACGGTGGACACAGCAAATAGCTCAATGTGGCTTTGTTCTAAAACAAACAAATAAAACCTTAAATTCAACGTGTTAGTGAGAAATTGTCTAGACATTTCAACTCTATTGGTATTGAAGACTCACAAAAATAATGAAATATTGTTGGAAACATTTTGGTCCACCTAAAGGAGAGAAAATTATTACATGAAATAACGTAAAGACCGTGAAACGTTTTATTGGTGAGATGAGTAGACAGTTTAAAACTGGTATTAATTGATATAAAAGTGATGTAAGAAGAAGGAGAAAGTAATATATCAAATTTAATGGTTGCTGATCACGCATTGTGATCATAACTGATGAGAATGTTACGACACATAATTATATATATGTTAAGTGATCCCTTAATTTTTTCCATCTAAGAAATCGTTGGCTATAGTGAGAATTTTAAATGTTATTGCGCAATCCACCCTTGTACGTTATAATTCAGGGAATAATGCTCAGCCGCAACAAACTTTCCGTTTTATCACTGTTACAACAGCGGACGTCACGTCATGACCTAGAAGGATCATGACTGTTTCTGGCAACTGTAGTGTTTGCCAGACGCCCTCTATTTTAGTATATAAGCCCGGCAAATAAAGCGGAGATATAATTGCAGATAGAGACAGATAATTGAGTCAAGTGAGCGGTAGTGACAGTAAGTATATTGCGTGAATCGTTGTGAACAATAGCGTGTGTTTAAATTAAAGTGACTGTGGAAATTCTGTGTATTGCAAAGTTGTATTGAGATAGAATAAACTAGTTTTATTTAAGAAAGGACTTGTATCACCGAAATTCCTAGGGAAGAATTTATACCGGAAATTAACAAAAGACCAGTGACGTAACATTATATTCCAGATGTGTTCATTGATACGTCATGTAACCTTCTTCCAGTTTCTCACGTGTAGATGGCGTTACATTCTGTGCATTCCAGTTAATTTGTAATATCAGTTGTTACATGTTCTTTTTTTATATTTGAGTAATTTACAAAGCAGTTTCTTTTCTTTTTTTCCCATTGTATATTTGGCATGAAAGCAGACCTGCACACTAAGAGTCTGTTTTAAAGTCATCTCTGGTTTCTGTATGGTCCTAGTTGGGAGACCAAACATTTTTGCACCTTTCCATAACTGCTAGTTCCTTTAATTACTGATATTCCTTATCACCCATGTAGCTGTAGAATTCATGTACCATATAGTTTTTATTTTCGTTGTTATTTATTAAGTTCGTTTCTTCGTTGTGTCTTTTTTTCTTGCTTCTTCTAATTGTTTGAAACAAGTTTTATGTATGTATTTGAGTAGCCGTTTTGTAGAAGAATTTGTCTAAAATCAGGCATTTTTCTTACCATGTTTTGATGTTCTAGCAGGTTCTGTGTATTCTAAATAGTTACCCCAAAATCACTCCTTTCCTTACAGAGGGAGGATGATGCGACTGAAAGCTTAAAATTCTAGGTTTCGTAAGATTTTCCTATGTAGAGTGTTAGATATACACGACTGTTTCATTTGAATTTAATACGAGAGTTATGATTTAGATAGGTATATTGTTAGAGCGTTAAAGTAAGTAATTTTTAGAAACGATAGTTGTGACAAGTTTGCTTATGTAACTGTTAACGAATCATTTATTGCCTAGTTCATTTGTAGTGAATTGACATAACTTTACTCGAACCTTCTGAATTTTTCTTGTTGCTTTAAGTATTGTTACATCATAACGTCTCTATAACGTCACCTATACACAGCGTGGTCA